ACTTGAATACTTCTAAGATACGATCATGACAGCAAGGGAACAAAAGTCAAGCAAGTTGATCAAATAATAAAACAAGAACATTGACATACCTGACTGAGGTGGGATCGTGGGAGACCTGCAATGAAGTATGTTTCCCCCTGTCTTTGCATGGTCTTCTGTACATTTATTTTTTTAGTAAAAAAAAAAGAACAAATCATGCATGTACAACCAAAGATTCACATGCCTCCACCAAAACTTCACACCTTTCTCAAATTGCATTTTTTTAATGATAAGTTGCATTTTCACATTAATGAATATATTCAAGCAGAGTTCTTTATTTTTTATTCTTTTTATGGACAGATGAATTTTATTAAGCGAGGTACAAGCAGTACCCCAACGCATATACATTTCAACCAATCTCAAAAGACGTCTTAGTCCACAAGACATTCCTAGCAGACAAAACACTTACGAAACCCTTCACACTAATGCACTTCCACTGATATCTAACATGCCCCTTGGTGTTTGCTCTACCCAATAAGATGGGAATGGACACCAGCTAGCAAAAGCATAGCCTAAACTCTGGTATTTTTCTCTATCCGGCAAGAGGATCTTGCCTAGATCAATTCAAGCAGATTTAAATTACATACTATACTATATTGGTCATGCACTGAACTTGATACTATACATTGGTCTTTAACTCGACTTCTAATCCACACAAACAGAGACAAGAAGAAAAAAGAATTTTATATACATATTAATGTTGAATTTTTTGCCTTGACATTATTAATATTTGGAAGAATTTTATGAGATTTTACATGGATTTCATTTTTTGTGTAGAAAAGGACTTGGATGCATAATAATAGGAGTTTTGGAATTAATTGAATATCTTATGAAAGTTGAGGGACTGAATTGCAAGAAGAAAGAAGCTTCTTTGGGATCTAAATGAATGAATCTTAAGTTTTGAGATCTCAGTGCTCATCGTACAAAACCTGGAGGATCAGATCTGCAATTTTACCATTGAAAAAATTACGAAAGAGGCTAAAAACCTGACACGGGTGTGGTGTTGACACATAATTGGGGTGTCGAGACAATGCATTACATGTCCAAAATCATAGTTTCTTTTTCTTGTTCTGTGTCGATACGTAATTTGAGGTGTCGACACTAAGCGCGCAGCGTCCAAACTCCCAATTTCCTATTTTGTTTCGAGTCCTACTTCTCTTCTAATAGGATTTCTTAAACTTTATAAATACCCATTAAAAAAAATCAGTTTGGGGGGTTTTTAAGAGGAGACCAAGAGAGACGGCTACAAGGAATTCAACAACGAAAGGAGATCAAGGCTTGAAATTTTATATCGTCAAACTGGTTTTGCTTGTCCTTGAATTTTATTTTATGATGTTGGATATTCGTATATTTATCATGAGATTGTTGATTCTCTTTTCTTTAATTATGAACTGATTTGCCATCTAAGGTTACGATGTAACCTGATCAATTTAATATAGAATTTTATAATTTTTATACTTTGAAGATTTATTATTTTATGTATAGTATATATTATTGTTTTTAATACTTTTTAATGATTGGCCACCATTAAAACTGATTTGGAGAGCATAATTGAGACCGAGAGGAAATTTTATGCAATAACTTCTAGTAATATATACCATGAATTGAACAAAAGCCAGAGATGGACCAACGTGATTTGTGCAGCATTAGTGATAAGTGGACTTAATTTTCCATGTAAACTAAGGAATTTCACAAAACATAATGCATCTTTATCTATTTAAATTCACATAGAAATATAGTGGGTTAATAGGTGAAGATATGTTTGGTGTAACTTGAGAAAGTATATAAAATAGGATAGGAAATCCCGCTGTCACATAAATAATAAATACATTGAAAGTATATTAATCTAAATTCTATATTAATTGATTATGGTGAAATCAGATGCCTTAGAATTTTAACTCTTGGTATTATTTAAAGTCAATTTAATTTTTCTTTAATTAGTTTAGTTATTTAGTTTATTCAAATCATTAAATTTCAATTGTTCAAATAAAATTAGAATTGATTAATTTTGATACTTAATTAATCTATAGTCTCTGTGGGATGATATTTTATTTTCATTATTATATTATTTGAACTGACTAGTACACTTGTTAGAGTGGAATTAGCTCATCAAAACATGCAAATGAAATACTAGCACAGCTGAAATATATCATTTTCACTACATTCTCCTACATTCAATCTTTCACACCCCCTTATTTGCCTCCTCGGTTACCTGATTTGAAAAGTCTTCATGAACCATTTGTGTCCTCTTGTGTAAACCACGTTTCCAATGACCACACCAATTGTTAAAAGTGTCGTTTTGCATTGTAACTCTCCTCAATTAATGTGGTAGGTGTGCTTGTGTCTTTAATAGTTGGTTGGGGTTGAGATTTGATGCTTAGATTACAAACTGCAATTTGAATATGTCAACTCTCCAGCAAACATGGATTAAATGTAATTCTTTGTACTGTTGAGGGGATACTAAGCAATGTAATCCCTTTTTTTATGAGTAAAGGTACAAATAAGGATTTCAACTTTGCACTTTTTTCTATTTAAGGATGTTAACTTTGTCAGTTTCTAAATAAGGATATTAACTTTCAATTTTTTCTAAATAAGGATGTTAATTTTGTTAATTTTCAAATAAAAATGTTAACTTTTAACCTTTTCTATTTAAGGATGTCAACTTTTAACTTTTTCTATTTAAGGATTAATTGAATAGTGATGCTGACGTGGCTAACATATTTTTTAGGTTAAATACATGAATTGGTCCCTCAACTTTTATTTTTGAATCAATTCATCATTAAACTTCAGAAAATACCAAAAATGTCCTTCAACTTCAATTTTCAATTAATAAAATTATTTCCTGATTCATGGAACAATTAATGAAATTTTATTTAATTTTATTAAATGGTAGGTGGGACTAATTAAATGGGAAAATATATTAATTTTTTTAATTTGTAAATGTGAATAAAGTAAAATTAAGAATTAAAATAGTTTATAAATTATTTAAAATTAAAAAAATCCACATAATCATGATTTTCCACCTAATATTCAAAATGTAAAATAGTCAATCACTTAGCAAAAAAATTAGCTACATCAACATTTAACTGACGGAAAGATGAAATTGAAAATTGAAGTTGAAGGATGTTTTTGGTACTTTCTAAAGTTCAAGGATGAATCGGTTAAAAAATAAAAGTTGAGGGACCAATTCAGATATTTAACCTAAAAAAATATGTTAGCCACGTCAGCATCACTATTCAATTAATCCTTAAATAGAAAAAGTTGAAAATTGACATCATTAAATAGAAAAGGTTGAAAGTTGACATCCTTATTTAGAAACTGATAAAATTAACATCCTTATTTAGAAAAAAATTGAAAGTTGACATCCTTATTTAGGAAAAACTAAAAGTTGACATCTTTATTTAGAAACTGACAAAGTTAACATCCTTAAATAGAAAAAAATACAAGTTGAAATCTTTATTTGCACCTTTACTCCTTTTTTTATTTAAGCTGTCCTTGCTTGAAAAATCACAAGAAGAAATGAAAGAGAGAAAGGGCTGGAAAAATGGAAATCCAAACCTGTATTTTCAAAATTTAAGTTCTTGTTCTTTGATCTCTTCATCCAAAAATCTATCACCTTATAATGCAACTCATCAATTTATTTCAAACTATGAATGAACGAAAAATCTGAACTCACATACTCAAAAAAACCTAATTCAAATCTCATTTTCTTCCATTGCATGTTTTCATAGCTCAATCTTTGAGCTAATGCATGCTCATTTTAATA